CCCCCCCCCCCTTTTTTTGGTCAAATACAAAAGTGCAGATCCCTCTGCAGTCCGGAAACCAGTTCCTCCTGCAGTGCTTTCCCCTGGGAGTGTCTCAGGCTCAGCCAGTCTCACCCACCATGTGACCCACCTTACAGAAGGACTGACAACCGCCCCGGCCTATTCCCCCACCTCAAACATAAATAAGCATTTGCTACAACCCAGAATCACATGGGGGGCGGGCGGGGGGGGGAGTTTCACATGGCTTGGAATTCTTTAAGTAGGACAGCAAACCACCGCACACTGGCCCCACCTCCCTACTCACACCTCACAGGCCCAGGGAAGAAAAGGCTGCCTGAGAGGCCACACAGGTCAACGGCTGTGTCTCCAGGGCCACGGTGTAGTCTGGGACGCCAGGTGGGAATGGTGGTGTGGGGGCCACAGGACAGAGATGAAAGGAATTCCAATGGAGGGCGAACCTCCCTGGAGTTAGACGTCAGCTCTGGGGGGAGGGTGTCACGCGGCCAGCCAGCAGCTCCCTGTGACCCTGGCCTGAGGAGGGGGGCTTGGGTCAGACCTATTTGGGTGGCAGGACACAAGGCCTGCTGAGGTCAGATGGCTCTGAGTGAGAGGTTAGCTGGGTGATGGGTACAGTGACAGGGGACAGCCTCTCCCTGTTCTGAGGGCCAGGCCCAGCTGTGGCTCTTGTGAGCTTGAACACACCAATCCTAAACCAGGTGTGTGAAGGAGGGAGGGAGGGAGCAGCAATTCACAACAGGACCATTCTTAGCACAGGAAGCCACTAATTAAAGATGTTATATAGAAAACTACATGTAAGGAAAAAAACAACAGAAAAAACAAACCCCAAACCAACCAAATAAATCATAGGCAGGCAGGAAAACAGCAAGGAGGTTGAGTTAAACACGATTCAGGTGCCTCGCTGCCTCTTTTCTCTACAAGTGAGAGTGAGAAGATTGGGAATATTTTCATATATTTCTTTTCCTCTTTTTTTGGCCTTTCCTTTCCTTTTTCTCTTCTGTGGTCTTGGGTGCTCCTGGCCCCGCAGGCAGGGGGGTGGTCAGTTGGCCAGCACGACGGGCTGGAACGGCTGGCTGGGATACTGCATGGTGTTCAGGTTGTAGCTGAGGCCTTCCACGAAGGGCGTCTTCTCCAGGAAGAGGCTGTTGGCACCGCCTCCAAACACCTGGGTCATGTCGAAGCTGCTGCTGTTGCAGGTGCCGGCCCCACTGCCCTGGCCATCGGCCCCATCAAAGAAGAGGCTGGGCGAGCCACCGCCATTGTACACAAACTCCTTGGCATTGGGCGAGAGCTGGGACTGAGGGGCCGGGTTGGGGGCGATGAAGTTCAGTGAGTGCATAGACAGGGAGAGGCTCTTGTGCTTCAGCAGGTTGTTGGTGGGAGAGCGGGCCAGGCGAGGCTGCTGCGGTGGGGGCTGCTGGCCACCTGCCCCACCGCTGGCCACGCTCCCACCACTGGCTGCCCCTCCGCCCTTCTTCATCTTGGTGGAACCAAACTTGGTGGCAGCGAAGGAGGCAGTAGTAAAAGTGATGGGTTGGGCGGAGCGTGGAATGAAGGTGGGGCTGGGAGATTGACCAAAGGATGGCGATGGGGAGTTGGACAGGGAGCTGTCCTGACTGCCAATGGGCACAAATACCTGGGCATCAGGGTTGAAGCTGCTCTTGATCTCCTTGTCCAGCTCTGGGGCAACACAGCCCTCGCTGTCATCCAGGTATAGCACTTTCACAGCCCCCTTCTCACCAATCTGGTAGGACACCTCGAAAGGGTCGATCCAGACGCTCAGCTCCTCAGGCACATTGGCCCGCACATCCTCCACCGCCAGGCCGCTCCGCTTGGCGGCCAGCTCCACCACAGGGTCCACTATCTCCCCAATGTGGACGCAGCGAAAGCCAGAACCCTTCAGTGGCTTGTCAGGGTACCAGTGGCCTTCATATTTCTTTTTTAAGAGCCGCTCTAGCTCCTCCCCAAACAGGTCTGCCCGGCGCCGGGGCAGCTTGTTGTACAAGTAGGAGATGATGAAGTTCAGGGCCACTTTGATCTCCAGCTGCATGGCGCTTTCCTAAGCAAACAATCAGTGCAGGGCACGTGCACAAGCCACGGACAGTGGCAGAAGACGGAAGGTGGGCAGCCTTGGGCTCCAGAAGGCCCTGGGAAACAAGAGGGGGCATCATGAGTAAACACGCAAAGAGCCGGGGTCCCATGGCCAAGGACAGACAGAAAAACACCAACTGCAGGTCACAGGCCTGAGGTCCCATTTTTGCCCACCAGTGACTAGTTTCATTTGTGTGACTGGGCAAGTCACTTGTTCTGAGCCTTAGTGTCATCAGCAACATGAGGTTATCATGAAGATTAGGTTAGTTCAAGGATGTAAACTGCCTCACACGGTACCTGGTTTTTAGTAGGTACTTGATAAAATTAGCTTTATTTTCCTTTTAAGTAATTCTAAAGAAAATAGGGTTGCTGCAGTTCCCAGTATTTTGAGAATTCAGACCACGGGATGACTGGCACCAAAAAAAAATATCGAGCCCTTAATTTAGCTGGAGAAGGGAAGGCTCCTGCTAACGTTCTCTGCAATATCTTGGTGAAACTGTGCCCCCAAGTTGTCACAGGCCAAGGTCTAAGTTCATAATCTTTAGTTTTCCTCCTTAAGCGGAAGGAATGCAGGTCATTGAACAAGAAATAGCACTGCCACCGTTTCGCTGGGGGCTTGGACTCCAGTCACATCCCATTTGTCATGCTGTGCTCCCTGGGTGTGTGTGTGCTCTGGCTCACTCTGGGTTTGCAGAACTGATTTCAGAATTGCACAGTGTACCCAAGGCAAGCACTGCCATCCAGAGAGCCTCCAAGAATAGAGATGAGAGCATGAGCCCCAGGAAAAAGTCAAGACCTGTCAGAACCAGAGGCCTGGGCCAACAACAGAACTGCTGACACTGCTGATGGCAGCGGCCCTGGGGCAGCAGAGGAAAGGAGAGGGAAGGAGGGTCCTGCTGGCCAACAGATCTTTACCAGCAGCACTAACGTGGCGAGGGAAGGAGGGTCCTGCTGGCCAACAGATCTTTACCGTGGTCTGAGGGAATCTCTGTAGTTTCTGGCTAGAGCAAGCATGTCAAACTCAAGGCCGGCGGGCCGCATGTTTGACATGCTTGGGCTAGAGAGGGTAAGTGATGAGGGCAGAGAGGAGGAATTTTCCATTACCCTGCGGCTTCCAGCTGGGGATCCATCATCACTCAGTCTCCCAGGGACAGTGTGACCACCTGTCCTTGGCACGGGATCAGATTTGTCAAGTGTTTGGAGATCCCTGGAGCGGAGGCAGCCCAAGATGAACACTCACATTGTTATTTTGGGAGTCCCTCATAGCCAGATTGCACAGAGGTCAAACAGGTTTAGCCCCCAGTTCTGGGCCAGCCTCATGTCTCAGGAAGATGATCTGTGAGGTCCTAAGACCCAGCGAGCTTCATCTCCTCACTTTCTCCAAACGACAGCTCCAGGCTCATGCTGTGGGTGAACTGAACTGAAAAGGCCACCCCCTTCCAGGGCCAACCAGGCCAGAACATGTTCCCAGCCAGACCTCTGGGTGAGACAGTGCTGCTGAGCTCAGCACAGAGACAAGACTGATCCATGATCCGTCAAGGGCATCTTCTGTCCTGTGACCGATCTGGAGCTGGAATTTGATAAAAATCCCTTCTAGGTCCAGCACAGAGTATCCAGAGACTAATTCTAGGCGTGAGGATCTCGAGTTTTCTGAACACCTGCCTCAACTACATCCCTTCTCATTTTCAGCCCTTTGCCTTAACTCACTTCCCTATAATTTTCAGACCTGGGCCATGGCTCCCAGGGGCATTTTTAGGATTGAATCCTCAAGCAAAGCTCTCTGAGGCAAGTCTCAGAGAAGATGCACTGGCTCAATCTGGAGCATCATACACACTGGCCAGGTCTAGTCCTGCCCTCATTTCAGGTCTGAGGAGGCAGAGGCTCACGTGGGGCGTCATGAGAGGTGCCATGAGCACGCCTCTCCCAGCCCTCCACAGGGATGCCCAGGCTCAGGGGACCCTTATCTCCTCTCAATCCCAGCCTCCAACAAAGACTTAATCTCCAAGTTGCTCCAAATGTCTATTCATGGTCACTACAGATCAATTCCAGGGTCCTTTTAGTTTTCAGAGAAATAAGAAGAATGGTAGAAGATTAAGAGCCTTTCGGTTTGTGAGGCCTGAGTTCACCAGATGCAAAGCTAGCCACCAGGAACTTGGGTCTCCACTCAAGAACAGCGGTATAGAGTCCCTCACTAGAGGTGTCCAAACACAGAGGAGACTGAAAAATTGTGAAGAAAGTTGGTCCCGGTTCCCAAGAATGAGCCTGAAGTTAAAGACAGTGTTTTCAGAAAAGTAAAAGAGACCCGAATCCAGCATCTGACACTTCTCAAGGCACACACAGCCTCGGGTATGCCTCCTACACCTTTCTAGCCCTCTCTAACTTGGGTGCATATTTGTCTTTCAAGTTAACCTCCCCTAAACAGTTCAGCCTCAAAATGGGAGCATTTCAAATGCAGGCCAAAGTCACTGGGATAGAAGCCTCCCACCCAATATACAATAGAACCACTGTCATCAGCCCTGCCCAGCTAACCAGTTTCTGCAGCATCAGCAACTAAAGCTGCACACCAATTTATACCTCAGTGATGCTGCCGCACAAATAAGGAAGTATATATAATGCCACCTTTGCCTCTTTAATTGGAGAACAGGCTAAGCCAGATGGCTGTGGGGTGGAACCTTACAAAAATGCCAGACAACCAGAATGATATTTTCTGCCCTATCAGCTCAGGCTCTAATTTTGACTTCAAGAAGCGTATGGAACACAGGATTAAAGCACTGGTGCTGTCTTGTCTTTAACTAAAGATAGAAATAACCACTCTGATGAGTTTGTCCATTTTTTTTTAGGCAATGGGCAAATTCTAGAGCTTGTATATAAAATATTCATAGAATGTGGTAAGATTAGAAAGCTTAGAAATAACTACCCTTCAATAAAAGGAACAAGTAGATTTGGGTTAAGCAGCAGGAAAGGACGCTAAGAACTTTTCCAACCTTGACTCAGGGGCAAAAGGTCAGAAAGGTGGCAAATGGGGGTGGGGTAGGGGGAGGCTGTGTTTAACAATAGCAAATCTACATTTTGTCAATATACCAAAAAGTTGCAAATGTGAGAATAAATTCTTTTATCTTATTTAGAATCTTACCCCCTTCACTAGTTTACTTTCAGCAACAAAGTTAATCCTGCGCTGAATTGAGTTTTAAAGAAAAGTGTGTAAAAGGACAAAAATGGGGGGAAAAGGATGGCTGCAGACAATGATGTGGTGATCGAGATTCCAGAGAAAACATCTAGCAAAAATACAAAGGAAGAATTTTAAGAAGATAAAGTTATGTTTTAAACGAAAAAAGGAGAGATGATGGCAGGGGAACCCACCAGGCTCCCCAAACCATGAGAATCTATAAAAATATTGAGGCACCTGAAGCTTTAACATCCAAATCGTCTTACAACCAAGCACAACTGGATTCAAGTGAGTGGGACAGGAGTTGTCCATTTTTTTTTAGGCAATGGGCAAATTCTAGAGCTTGTATATAAAATATTCATAGAATGTGGTAAGATTAGAAAGCTTAGAAATAACTACCCTTCAATAAAAGGAACAAGTAGATTTGGGTTAAGCAGCAGGAAAGGACGCTAAGAACTTTTCCAACCTTGACTCAGGGGCAAAAGGTCAGAAAGGTGGCAAATGGGGGTGGGGTGGGGGGAGGCTGTGTTTAACAATAGCAAATCTACATTTTGTCAATATACCAAAAAGTTGCAAATGTGAGAATAAATTCTTTTATCTTATTTAGAATCTTACCCCCTTCACTAGTTTACTTTCAGCAACAAAGTTAATCCTGCGCTGAATTGAGTTTTAAAGAAAAGTGTGTAAAAGGACAAAAATGGGGGGAAAAGGATGGCTGCAGACAATGATGTGGTGATCGAGATTCCAGAGAAAACATCTAGCAAAAATACAAAGGAAGAATTTTAAGAAGATAAAGTTATGTTTTAAACGAGAAAAGGACAGATGATGTCTGGGGAACCCACCAGGCTCCCCAAACCATGAGAATCTATAAAAATATTGAGGCACCTGAAGCTTTAACATCCAAATCGTCTTACAACCAAGCACAACTGGATTCAAGTGAGTGTGGACAGAGGGAGTGAGGGGGGAGGGATCCTCAATTTTGACAAGGCCAGTAGGTGTCATAAACTGGGTGCCTGGGAGTCAGAGCTGAGATCCAGGGGGACAGGGGACAAACCCATCCCACCGGTCCTGGAGCCCCCCGTTGGGTGGGTGTGGTTGAAAGGTTCCAGGACTTGTGGCAACTGAGTGCGCCCCGCCCCCCCCGCCCCCCGAGTCTCACACCATCACCCCCAAACACAGGCCGGCACAGCCCGTCTGACTGACAGGTTCCTTCCGCCTAGGAGGGCCTTTTCTAGGGCTCTCTCGGTTCCTCCGAAGCCGGGAAGACTTGACTGAACCCCAAAGTAAGTGGAGTTGCGCTCTGCATTCTGGGAATTGTAGTCCCCACAAACCTCACGCTCTGGTTTGAAGCAAGTGACCTACTTCCTCTGCACACTACACCTCCCTGCGCACTTTGCGAAGGCTCGGCCGGCAAACCACGCATGCCCAGTAAAGGGAGCTGGCCGACGGTCGGAGAACCATGGAAAAGTTTCCGATGCACATGCGCGCTGTGGCGGATGGCCCCATCCCCCGCCCTAATACATTTTATATAAATTCTACTCGTCAGGCCCACGCGCCGTGGTTTACCACCCTACCGTATCCATGTCTTGGTTTCTCGAGAGGCTGAACTCTTTCTCCCTTTCTCCCCACCACCTCCCATGACCGCTGAATGAAGGATCTGCTTCCAATGAGTTCTTCCCGGCTGAGGGCGGCGGACGGGAATGGATAAGGTCACATTCCCACCCCGCTGCCCCTGCGGCTTTAATCTGTATTCCTGGGGCTTGGTGGTCTCCGTCTGGAGTTGCTGTAGGTTCGGTGGATTCAAAAAGAAAAGAGCCTTTTCATTCAACGCCCAGCGGGCTCGGCTCCAGCATCCCAACAGCCAAGAAAGTAAGGGCAGGAATGAAAAGCCAGTTCCCCGGGCCTCTTGGCCAAAGAAATTCCCAGATAAACTGCGGGGAGGCGCCAGGCCGACAATCTGACGGCCGATGCCAGCGGGGCCCAAACCTCACGCCTCTTCTAATCCAAGTCCCAGTAACCAGACCCGAGAGGAACCTGGGAAAAGGTTCCCGGGCAGGGGAGGAAAAACTGCCTCTGACACCTGCACGTCCCCTTCCAACACTTAAAACTGTTTGCATCTCCTCCCACTGTAAGGCCTGCTCTCCACTTACCAGATTCCCAGCAAAGCTCCCCTACCGAGCGCTAAACCTCTCTAATCCCTCCCTCCACACAAGCTTGCTTCCCCCTCCCCTTAAGAGGGGGATGGGGACAGGTGCCCAAGAAAGCAACAGGGGTGTTTTTCTGCTGGAAAATCTAAGATGAGGGACCCACTCTTGGGGTGGAGGGGGGGGGGGAAAGGTTAGTGTACTGAGCAGGCCCCCAAGACCCTCGCCGCTGGCCCCCAAGTTGAAGCCTGCTGGATGGGGTTCTAGTTCCCTGGGGGCTGGGAAAGGGCCTGCCAGTTGCCCTTCCTCTCGCTGCCCCCACCTTCCCCTCCCTTTCTGGTCAAGGACACAGTCCATCCCCTGGACAGGAGGGAAGGAGCCCAGGGCTCTTCCTCCCGTGCACCTCACCCCATCAGTCCACCCACTGCTACTGCTCTCAAGGTACTTTTTTTCTGGCCCAGTTTTCCCTGAAAACACTAAAGAGGATAAAGAGCTTAAGCCCAAATGGTGAATTCCGGCTCAGTGGCCAGAGGACAGCCAGCAGTGACCGGTTCAAAAGGGGACTGTCCACCCTTCATCCCTCAGGCTTCACCCGGCCAGATACAAACCCTATTAATTATTGCCCCTTTTTACAAGGGAAAAGCAGCAGAAAAACAAGGCCTGTATCCCTCCTGCCTCTGATTTACTCAGTGGTGATGAGAGTTAGGTGTTTTGGAGGAACAAGAAAATTCTAGCCAGTCTCTAGGAGATTGAGAACTGAGGGGGGCGGACAGGGGGGAATGCACCCCACCCAGGAGCGGCCACACTTGGAGGGAGAGGGGGGCTCTGGGGTACCCAGGCTGAGCGCGAGCGTGCGGCGGGGAAATGGA